GGGGTCCAACGCCCCGATTTATTTACACCGGTTAAAATATTGTACGCAATTTTTCCCTTCCTATCCCCCTTTGCTTTGTTCTGCTTCAACAAATCACACTCAGTAAAGCGTTGGAGTCGGAAACTTCAAGTCGTTTGATTTCTTGCCTGAAGCCCACTCCCGATCTCCAGAGCCCTCCAATAACCTACCGGCATTCGATTTGACGCGAAACAAACACGCCTGTGGCTCCACTGGTGCGGATTAAAATTTAAATTTCTACTTGCTGGCTTTTCACATCGCGATTCACCAGCTGATTCAGCTTTGCATTCAGGAACTAAATCTTAAAGAACTTTGAGATAATGTACATTTTCTTGCGGCTTTCAAGCTGAACTCTTCATAAACTTGTCGTGGTGTGAACAGAATCGTAATTAACGGTTTATGACTCCTGGAGACAAGCGGCCAACTAGGCACAGGCACACAAGGCGGTATTGCTCTATATCAAAGGTCGAAACGGATTCCAGTAGTGATCATTGTGGGGGGTGTGGGGTGGGGTTGATTAAATAGCTCTCGGTCTCTTGCTGCGTTTCTGGACACTCAATAAAATGTGCGTGATTATTTTTATGAATTGAATGTATAGCATATTCCTTCATCATATCTACATCGGGATGTTGTAACAAACACTTCCCTTTTTTCGTCTGCTTTCCTCCTATAATAAAGCTTAACAATCAAAATAATTATTATAACTAGAAATTGAAGCAAACCGTTTTTCATTTTCGTTTTGTGGCTCTTTGGTAGTACAATCATTATTATCATATCGGATCTTTTTGTATTTGATGTGGAAATAGCAATGCCTGCACAACTGTATAACAGTTTCCACAATTTAAAAAAAAGATTGAACCAGACAGAAAAACAGCCCAAAGGAAAGGAGACCGAAAGATGAATGAAAAAGATAGCTTTTACTATAGCTATACACAATTGTGATAGTATAATGTTTTTGTTGAACTCTTGGGGGGCTGGGGTTTTTTTTTTTACGTTATGTTCGTATTGCAATTCAATTTGGCTCCCTGATAGAGCAAAGAATATAAAAGACGCCAGGCACAGTCGACTGCAAGTGGAGGTAGAGTTATACAAGGAGAAGTGAGATCAAAATATTCTTTGATATTGGCAAACAGTCTTCGAAAAATGTTGAATAGGTTGCTCACACTGTGTGATTAAAGCTTTTTATGTTTAAGTAAGAGTTTTACAACGCTCGCAACTGCATAAGACCATTTGAACGCTTTTTAGGGCGTGTGAATTGAGAAGACGGTTCGAATGTGAGAGAAGAGTACAGCCTTCGTTGGAAAACTTGTAAGATCATCCTCCTCACTGCCAGCCATCCCCTTTATACATGTTCTGGTACCTTCGGTGGAAGGACAATCTGTGGGTGGAGGGGGGTTTGTTTGTTTGGTGGGTTGTTGTTGGGTTTTTTTACCTATAGGCCTACATTGATTCTGGGTTTTCTAAATCTGATATGGGAACGTAATATGCAGGCTTTTACCACAAGGAAAAATGACAGAGAAAAAATGCTGTGATAATTTATAAAAAGAAAGCTAAATGAAATATCACGTCCCGCCCCATGCACCTAAAAAGTTTTTAACAACTGGGATCTGAGAATCTGGGAAAGGAAGAAAGAGGGGGGGGGGGGATAAAAACTGAAGAGGTAAATATCATATTGCGTACCTCTTAAATTACCGTATAGTTATCTTTCACGGACTAGTCCATAAATAAAATCAACTTTATACAGGGAAAAGACAAAACTGTGTTAGACTTGAAATGAAATTTTCTGGTCATATCAGCAGCCGAGAAACGCATGCTGTGACCTGTGAAATGCATGAATACTATTTTTATGTCGAGGGAGTCGAAGGTTTTTTAAATGTTCAGGAAAAGATCAACAATCACCTCGTCAGAATCACATTCCCTCTGCACTTTGCTGCTTTCGAAACCTTTTTTTTTTTACCCCCACCATAAAAAGTATTACTCAGTCACAGGAAATAATTATAGTTTGAAATCTTTGAGCAAAGTCTGAGAACGAAGGCGAAGTGTCGAATTGCTGAACAAGCTTTAGATCACACAAGTTGCCCTTAAGATAGTAGGTAACCTAGCCGATACTTGAGTGCCATTATGTGCCTTTTGGGGTAGTGGGAAGGAAACAGAAAGAAGTGGTGTGGGGGGAGGGGGCAGAGAGAGAGAGAGAAAGAGAGAGAGAGAGAGAGAGA